TCCCTCTCTTCCTCCCCCTCCTTCTACCCTCACACCCCGAAATTCATTTTTTTTTTTTTACCATTGATTTCTTTGCACATATTAAAAATATTTTCCTTTGTAAAAGAGAGACGCGAGCGCGGGAAAAATTCAAATCGAATAAAAATTCTTTACTTAACAACGTTTTCCCTTTCATAATCGACTTTTCCGACGTACAAAAAAAAAAAGAAAATAAAAAAGGAAAACTTTTCTTTCATCTTTCTCTCTTTCTCTTTCTCTCTTCTGGTCGTAAACTAAAAAAAAAAAAACAAATTTTCTCAAGACAAACAACAGCGACAGAACCCGACGACGTAGGAAGAGGAAAAGGAAAAAAAAAATGACGTCGTGAAGGAAAAAGTAGGACAAGAAGGAGGTGGAGGGAGAAGGAAGGAAAAAATAATAATAATAATAATAATAATAATAATAATAATAATAATAATAATAATAATAATAATATCATGTTTTTTTAACCCGTCAAAAATTTTACCGCCGACATAATTTTGAAAATTTCGGTCACGAGGGAATTTTTAATAATTAAATATCCTGCAGCAGCAACAGCAACAACGACAGCAGCAAAGGTTGTCACGGGTCAATCATGATTTTATCTCATAACGAACCCATATCGTAATTTAAAACGTGAAATCTGACCCGAAAACATCAACCAAATTTAAAAAATTTTTAAAAAAAAGTCAAATTTTCATTGCAACAACCGGAAATAGGTTGTTACGTCACGCGTACACGTCACGTCACGAAGGTTAACGATTAAAACGAAAACAAAACGTTCGTTCACGTGACACGTACACACGTGTTCATTATAATAACAAATTTACACGAAATCGATCGATCGATCGATCGATTGATTATTTTAATTATTATTAATTAATTATCACTTTCTCGAAATAAATGTCGTTTTGTTTAAAAAAATTAATCGATAATTTATTTATCAATTAATAATCGAAACGAAATTTATTTTAAAAATGGCGGACGTTAATTAATAATAATTATACATGCTTTCGTGCGCAAAAGTAATCAAATTATTATTTTACTTAATTTTTTTAAACGTAATATTTAGAGTAATAATTAACGTTTTTAACCTTTTGTCGATAATAATAATAATGATGATGATGATGATGATTTAGGTAAATAAATTCAAAGGTTTTTTTTTTAAACGTGTACTGTGCCAAAAAAAAAAAAGGTTCGATTATTAAAAAAAAAAAAAATTTGTTTTTTGTAAAAAAAAAAAAAAAAAAAAAAAAAAAAAAGCAGAAGACAGGAAATTTTTTTTGTCCCCCCCCCCTCATTTATTACGACGTAAACAATCATCTGACAGAAAGTTGTAACGAATGAATAAGTTCATCAGATTGCCCCAGTGGCGCAATCGGTTAGCGCACGGTACTTATATGACAGTCGTCGTGAGCCATGCCGGGGTTGTGAGTTCGAGCCTCACCTGGGGCACAAAAATTTCCCAATACGTAAAAGTGGAAATTTTTTTTTTTTTTTTTATTTAATATTTACTCGCACCATTTTCCACATCCCCGCCGCAAAACCCTCCTCCACCCCTTTCCCTTCCCCCGTCGGAAAAAAAACATGATGAAACATATAAAAAAAAAACGAATTTGAAGAAGAAGCAGAAGAAGATAATCTTCTGAACGTATAAGATAAAATATTATAAATTTAACTTTTTTCTTTTTCTATTTACGTTTTAAAAACAAATGTTTGAAAATTCTTTAAGTAAAATTTAATTTCATATTTTTGAAATAGAAAACGTGACTCGAGATTTTTGATAAACCTTTTCTCTTTTAAAATTTTCTAACCCTTTCCTCTACCCCTACCCCTCCTCATCTCCCTCTCCCTTTCTCAAACCCGAACGATTATTATTATGTTCTCGTTGTTTCAAAGCACTTAAGACAAAAAAAAAAAAACAAAAAAAAAAGAAGAAACCAAAAAAAATGAAAGTAAAATCAAGATGTTTTGAAAATTTTTTAAAAATGTTATCACGACTTCCTGTTTAACCTACTACTTCCGGTTGTTATCATCATCGTAATTCGCGACAGATAAAAAAATTTTCTTTTTTTTTTTTATTAACGAATTGATTACGTTTGATAAAGTACGAATCCATTTTTTTTCCAACCACCACCACCACCACCACATCGAAACACAAACGTGACGTAAAATAAACAAATAATAATAATAATAAATTCTCCTCGGTTTTTTTTCGCGGAAGGGAGGGAGAGGAGGGGGGGGTTGTTCAATTAAACAAAAACAACCGCGACATTAAAATTTACCCGTTATTGAAATTAAAAAACATTTTATTTTTAAACATCATCATCGTGCAGAATTTTATTAATACATAAAAGTTAATTATAAATTAATTTATGGCTTTTCCTATTTAATAATAATAATAATAATAATAATAATAATATTAAAATTGAATAAACTATTAAAAACGTTTAATTATAATCTGACAAACAAAACAACAAACAAAACAAAACAAAAAAAATAAATTAGAAAATTTTTAACCTTTTCACTCGAATAATAATTTATTAAAAAAGGAGAACAAAAACAAACAAACGAAGAAACAAACAAACAAACAAATAAACCAAATATATAAATATATATACGTTTTATCATTTAGTTAAATAAAATAAAATAAAAAAATAAAAAATTACTTTTCTTTGTTGTTGTCTATTAAAATCCCGTTCGGAAAAATCGAAAAATTTACGTTACTCTCTCTCTCTCACTCTTTCTCGCTAACTATCTATCAATGTAAATATCTCTTTCTCTCTCTCTCTCTTTCTCTTTCACGTTTCCTATTTATTCTTTTCATACGTTTATATATAAATAAAACATTATTCAATTTAGTTACGATTGATTTTAAATAGAATTTTCAATTGAACGCAAAGTCGTGTGTGTGCGTGCGTGCGTGCGTGCGTGTGTGTTGAAAGGGATTTTATTTTAGTAAATTACAAAACAACATTTGTAAAGAATTAAAAGCTTAATACAATCGTTTCTATATAGAATGTCAAGAAAAATATTCAATGGCGTCGGTTTTTGTAATTTTCCTTCTGGCAAAAAAACATCATCATCATCATCATCATCATCATCATTATTATCATCGTTTTAAACTCGGTAAATTTTATCAATCTAATTTTGAGAATAATAAACCGCGTATGTGAAATTGTTGTTGTTGTTATTATTACCCACGTTATTTCTCATCTCTCTCTTTCTCTCTCCCTCTCTCTCTATCTATCTAAATATCTCTCTTTCTCTCTCTCTCTCTCTCTCTCTCTATCTATCTATCTAAATATCTCTCTTTCTCTCTTTCTCTCTCTCTCTCTCTTCTTTTTTTTTTTTAAACAAACAACATGTTCATTATTAGTAAAACACGTTTTCAGGACCGTAAAGTCGTTAAAAATTTTTTTTTTTTTTTTTTTTTTTCGAGAAAAGTGACAAAGTGACAAATCGCATTGCTTTCCCTCCCCACCCCCGTTCTAACTCTTTCCGCTGCTTTCCCTTAAACTCGACAAATTTTTTAATTTTCAATCTGTCGTCATCCATCTTTTTTTTTTTTTTTTTTTTTCGGGAAAAAGGTGTGAAATGAAAGAAGAAAAAGAAAAAAGAGAGAGAGAGAGAGAGACAGAAAGAGTAGATAAAATAATTTCAGGAAACGTTTTTAATTATAATTTAAACAACAAAAACACGTTATAATTCAAAATAAATATAAAAGAAAAAAAAAAAAACATCGGAAACGATCGAGAAAACGAGTTCAAAGGTCATGAATTTTTTTTTTTGCTGTCGTCCGACGACGACTGAGATTAATTTTTAAAATGATATATTACGGAGAAAAGACAAAACTATCAATCAACTTTTCCACTTTTTTTTCTTTCTTTCTCTGTAATCGTTTAAATAATAATTTTAAAAAAAGGTTTGAAAACCTCAAAAAAGATTTCGATTGTTTTTTTTTTACCCCCCCCCCTCCCCTCTTGTCTCCCCATTTCCCCCTCCACTCCGTACTCTCTTTTTTCCATTCGAAAAAAAAAAATGTCGAGATTTTTCCATTTTTCCATTTTTTTTTTTTTTTTTTTTTTTAAATTTTAAAAAGTCAATTAAAAAAAAATTTTCTTTTTTCATCTCGGCTTTTCCAAATCGTCTTATTATATACATATAACAAAAAAAAAAAAGTATTGCCAACAAAAAAAAAAAAAAGTTATTTTATTTAATTTTTACGTAATTTAAAAAAATAAAAAAATGAAAAAATATTGAATTCCAAAAAAAAAAAAAAAAAGTTATGGAAAATTTTTTTTCCCTTCTTTTTTTTTTTCCATGTTTATTTAAAGAATTAAAATTTTTTTCAAACATTTTTTTTATCGGGGAGTTTTCTTTCTCTTCTCTCTCTTTCCTCTCTCCCCCCTTTTCCACCCGGTTTCCTTTTACTCGTCAAAGGAATAAATAAAAAGTTTTTTTTTAAAAAAAAAAAAAATCTTTTTTATTCCGCCCCCCTTTAAATGAATGAATGAAAAAAGTAGCAAAGGTTTTGTAAATTTTTTTTTTTTGACCCCCTTCGAAAAGCGCGGGCTTTTTTTAAAATTTGAAAACTTAAACTGTTAAACCTTTAAACTATCGATAATATTTTTATTGTACTTAATTAAACAAACCGGAAATTGATCGTTCTTGATCAAACGTTTCCGCCGCGATAGCAAACGCGGTAACGGTTATCACAGGTACACTTCACAGAACAATCGGTAAAAATGACACAAAAAAAAAAAAATTTCCCGGAAATTGTTAGTATAAACACATTCCGAAAAAAAAAACCGGAAATGAAATTAAAATCATCCGACGAAATAATAATAATAATTATTATCACACGTAAAAAAAAGCGCGCGCGCCGTCGGCAAACGGTCGAAAAAAATTTTTTTTTTTCGTCGATATTTTCTCCCAACTTTCTCGCGCGTTTTCACGCGATTCGCAAACTTTTTTTTTTTTCACGCTTCGACTTCCAAATTATTTTCCGGTTCGTAAATGATTTTTTTTTGAATTTTCTCAAACAAATAGGGATAGTGTTTCATAATATCTAAAAAATCATCGTGATGTAAAATGTAAACTTCGGCAACTTCGACGGATATCGCGTAACTTCCGGTTGTGGAAAGACCCAAAATGAAATTTCTACCGTTAAATGAAGTTCCGTCGCCGAAATGATATAATTCCACGTGTTTTGACGAATACAATGCCACGGTTCCGGTGTGTACGAAAAACATTTTCAAAACGGTTTCGAATTTTTTCATGACGACTTCGTTGGGCAAATGTAATTGATATTTCATGCATTCCGCCATTCTCCTCAGGACGAACGTCGGCAAATTTTCAAATGCGTAATAATGTTTCAATAGCGGCAAACATATGTGAAAAAAAATGTCGGCTTTAAACGAATCCGGTATGTAATCGAATATTTCATCTTCTCTATATCCCTTATTCTCGGATATTATTTGATAGTATAAAAGAGTTTTGATTTCCAGCGTTCTCGACAAGTGTCTCGTTTTTTCGAACGTCAAAACTTTACTTTCAATGTCTAGAAATTTTTCCTTGGACGATAATTTCGTTAGAATGTACTCCATGAAATACGACATGAATATTATGTTGGCGAAAAAATCAAACACCAACAAATCGATGCGGAAAAGTACTTTTTCATCTTCGAAATATTTTTCCACGTACAGTGCGACGAGTAAAAGATCGAGAAAAGCATCGACGTAGTGTCTCAAATTGTTGATGATGATTTCGAAAATTTCCGAGGGTAGATCAACGGCTATGTAATCGAAATCGATTCTGTTATCGGATACCGTCAGTATTGAATTTATGTTCGTTGCGAAGAGAAGCAATATCATGAAACCGAACGTCGAACTCACCAAATTCGTCAGATAAACGTTCCACATCATTATTTTCGAGACTTGACTCAAATGTTTTAAAAAAGTAAAATACTGGAGGTACGTGAATTGCGGACATAGAAACAATAGCACGAGACATTCTTCCGTGAATTCCTTACATATCGGCGAGAGTTTTATGACGACTTCGAACGGAAACGATGATATCATTTCAACGGTGAAAAATGTCAGGAGGTATCTTTTGATTATCTTCCGAGGTTCGAGTATTGCGATTTCCGTCGTCTTGTCGATGTATCCGGTCACGAAACTCATTACTATGTCGACGTAATTGACGAATGAAAACATCAAACGTAAAAAATAATTCGACCAATGTTCCAACGGGAGTGCGGGAGTCGCGATCGATAACGTGTACAATTCGATGACGATGATAATGATGATCACTTTTTGAAACGTCACGCGAAAATGACTGTAGGGATGTATTATGTAGGGGAAAAATGTTCTCTGTACGAATTTTTCATATTCTAAAATCGTATTGTTTCTCGTCACGATTCCCGGATACACGTTCGCACTTTCCGCGTAAAAATATTTACGTTTCATTTTGTACCCGGCGACGGGTTATTATGTGATACTCGTCACGGGGGTAAATACATGGCGAATGCGAATACCATGCTTTCTAGCAGACGATAAATTGATACGATCGGTGTAAAAGTGTATACTAAATAAAATCGCGGAGGTTTTTTTTTTTTTTTTTTTTTTTAAAGAGCGCAAAAAAAAACAATCCATAGAGTAAAAAAATTTGAAAACTCCGAGAGAGAGAGAGAGAGAACGCACATCGTGTGTGTTTGTGTGTCGTATAAGTTATCGTGGGAATAAAAAATTTCCGTCTATGAAATACAAAAAAAAAAAAAAATGGGGGAAAAAAACGTGCAATTATGATTAAAAAAACGCCGGGGAAAAAGAATAAAAAAAAAAAAAAGTAAGAAGAAAAAAATTATTTATCGCGCGGAAAAAGAAAAGTTTTTTTTTTTTTCTTTTAAATTGAGTAAAATTTTATGTTTAATAAAGTAAAAGGATAAAAAAAAAAAAAAGAAAAAAAAAATTCTTCGTCTGAAAGTCACAAAATGAAACCGTCATTAGGAGCCGTAAGAAGAAGAAGAAGAAGATAAGAAAAAGGAAAGAAAGATTATGAAAAAAAAAAAAAAAAAAAAAAGATGAAAAAAAATTTTTTTCTTTATTATTTCCCTTCCCTCCCCTCTCCCTCCCCCTTCCTCCTCCTCCTCCTCCCCCAGAAGAATCGCGGTGAAAAAAAAAATAATAATACTAGTAGTAAAAAAAAAACTGTTTCCGGTTTAAATAATAATTGAATCCACCTATACCAATTTTAACGCGAAAAAAATTTTTAATAAAATAAAAAAATAAATAAATAAATAAATTATGTATTTTCCTTATCATTCTTATCACTACTATCATTATTAATATTACTTTTATAGTATTTATAAATAAATAAAATCGAATTCAAATTCGACATAATTTTTTAGAGAGAGAGAGAGAGAGAAATTTTTTTACGGTCAAAAATATATTCGGAACACGAAACAATTGGAGCAAAAAAAAACGGACGAGTGTCCGTGTGTGTGGGTGTGCGTGCGTGCCCGCCCCCTCCTTCCTCTCCCCAAGGATAATTTAAAATGAATGTAGTGTAAAATATTTTTTTTTAAAAAAGTAATGATGTGAAAAGGACTCGAAGTAAATGAGGTGCGTTAAATAAAAGAAGGGGGGAAAAAAAACGTTAAAAGAAATAAAAACCGAAAAGAAACAAAAAAAGAAAATTATTAAAATAATTGATGAGTGAGACTTTTTCTTAATAATAATAATAATAATAAAATTGTTTATGCGAGCGAGTGAGAAAGAGAGAGAGAGAGAGAGAGAGTGAATGTTTGTTGGTCAGTTCAGTTAAAATCGTTCAGGTATCACACGAATGTTTTAGATTTTCACGGAAGAACCTTCTTTCCCCCCAGGGGGGAAATTCCCTCTCTCTTATTATTATTATCCCGAAAATCGATCCCTCGAACGTATTTTTTTTTTTTTTTTTTTTAAATTAAAATCTGGAACCCTGGAAAAAAACAAATCAAGAAAACTGGAAAAAAAAATACAGAGAAAAGAGAAAAATTCAAAGTTTTAAATCACGATTTTTTGACTATAGCAAAAGGATTACATTAAAAAAAAAAAAAAAAAAAAGAAAGAGAGAGAGAATTATATTAGAAAAAAATGATAAAGAGAGAGAGAGAGAGAGAGAGAGAGAGAGAGAAAGAGAGAGAGGGGGGAAAAAGAATCGATATTCAAATGATATCTACATATTAAAAAAAAAAAAAGAAAAAAAAACTTTTCCAAGAGATGATTCCTCATATATTTTCATTTAATTCTTTTCGCGGGTTTTTATTTTTTTTTTTTTAAACGATAGCAAATTTTATTCGTCCTTTTATTTGCGTCTAATTAAGTGTCTTTTACATAAAAAAAATTTTCCTAACATCATTAACAAAACAACAAAAAAAAACCCGATAAACATCTCAGCGTTAAAACAGGCTGACAACCTAAAAAAAAAAAAAAAAATTTTTTTCTTTTTCTTTCCCAATTAATGAAAAATTCACGAAAACGAATTCTTTTGTTTTTGTTTTTTTTCCTTATCTGATAATGATGATGATGATGATGATGATGATGACGATGATAATAATAATAATAATAATAATAATTTTTATTATAAAAAATTTTAGATACGACGACGTTCTTAAAAATTTTTTTTTTGTTTAATAAAAATAAAAACGGAAAAACCTCTTAACGATGCATATTTTTATTATTAATAATAATAATAATAATTAAATTAACGGAAAAGACAACAACAACGAGGAGGGGGGAGGAGAAGAGGGGAATGGAAGAAAAGATTTTCTCGCCCGGAAAATTTTTCCATCGTCAAATGACACGATGGAATTTTATTTTAAAAAAAAAATAAAAAATAAAGAAACAATTTTAATTGGTTGTTAAGAAACAACTCCAGCAAAAAAAAAAAGAAAAATCCCCTCGCGAGGTTTTTTTTTTTTTTTTTTGCTGGAATTTAAAATTCGACGGCCTGGAAAAATATTCGCGTTTATTTTTTTTTTATTTTTATTTTTTTGGAGAAAATTTTCATGTTGTCGGTTAACTATCCAAAAGCAAAACCAAAAGCAAAAGCAAAAAAAAATGTTTTGCGAAAAAGGTTAAAAAAAAAAAAAATTTTTTTTTTTTTTTACAACGAACTAACTTTTAAGCGAATGCAAATGTAAAAAAAAAAATATATTCATGATTTAAATTTCTTTTTTTTTTACTACTCTTTTCTCGAAAGGAAAATCGTTTTTGAAAAGTTGAATTTTCTTTTTTGTGAAAAAAATTATTATTATTATTTTTTCGGGAAAATTCTAGAAAAAGGGCAAAAACCCTTTTTTGAAAATTTTTCTTTTTTTTTATTTCTTTTACATTATTTTATTCGGATGGATTGCGGTGGTGGTGATGGTGGTGGTATAATTAAAACAAAAGAGTTTTAAAAATAAAAAAAAAATTTTTTTTCGTGGTTTTAGAAAGAGAGAGAGAGAGAGAAAAATGGAAGAAACAAAAAAGTGTCAAAAGACAAATTTCAATTTTTTTTTTTTTTCTTTTTTTCTTATTATTATAGAAAATTATAAAAAAAGTTTTAAAAGTAATAAATAACGTTCAAATTTCAAAATCGATAAATAATTCTAATAATAAATTTTTGTTTTCTTATTTTTCTTTCTCTCTTTCTTCATCTTTTTCCCTTTCTCTCATTCCCTTTTACTTTCTCTCTCTCCCTCCCCTTTTCCGTACCATATTCCCTCCCATTTTTTTTTTCTTCTAAACAATTTTTTTCTTTTTTTTATTAAATTTCTCTGCTGTCCTTTTTCCTGTCGACAGAAAAAAATGACACATCATTCATTCCCTTTTTTCATTCATTCACTCATTCATTCATTCATTCATTCATTTTGTCGTCTTTTAAAAAATTAAAAAAATATAAATTGAATTAAAAAGTTTGAAAATTTCTCGAAAATACAAAAGAAATTAACATCGACTCGCTTTTCGACGATTTAAAAAAAAAAAAAAAAAAAAAAAAAAAAAAAACTACTCGAAGGCTAGGTACAGAGGCTGTTTCAAGGGCGGGGATTTTGGGATTGGATTTTCCACGTTGACTAAGCGTCCGCTAGGGGTGCACTTTCAACTTGGATACCTTGGGGAAACCCGAGGGAAATATCGACCTAAAAGTCACCGAGTTGAGAGTCGTGGGTTCAAATCTTGGAAGTGGGAGTTCAATATCAGCTCGTCTTAACAAGTACAGACCTGTACCTGAATAAGAGGATAAGTGACCTAGCATCCTTTCGAGGCATTGGAAATGCACCAACTTTTGTTTCGTGTGCGTGAGTCTGGGCACTTGATCGAAAATAGGGAAAATGTGAGAGAACAATCGCGATCCCGGACATCTCTCTCTCTCTCAACTGGAAAACTCACAGGCTTTGTGTAAGAGGCAAGAACGATAGGAAACGATCCGAAGGGTAAAAAGGGGAAGTACCGGGATCTTCCTCATGTGGGATTCCCACTTTCGCGAGTGCGGACCTGATAGTTCTGGTTCGAGAGAGGATTGAAACTACTTTGCAGGATGTACTCCCACGAGCGCCCCTCCCTCCGGAAAATTCTCCAGGGTTAACAATTAAAAAAAAAAAAAAAAGAAAATCCTTTTGTTTCTTATACCAATAACAATTTTATCTATTAAATGAAGATTAAAAACCGTCTGGAAAAATTTAACTGGAGAATAATTTAAACTTTTTATAAAAGTATTATTTTTGTTTAAAAAAAAGAAGAGTAAAGAAGAAGAAATTTTGTTTAAATTCCATCCGCAAGTTTTACATTCCAAATAATAATAATAATAATAATAATAATAATAATAATAAAGATTTAACGACGCCAATTTTTTTTTTTTTTTACTCCCTCCCCTTAAAACCTATAAAAAATATATCCCTGAATAATTTTTATAGTATAAAACTATAAATTATAGTTTGAATGAAAAAGAACGAAAAAACGAAAGATGATCATTATAGTTCGATAATGATCGAATAAATTTAAATATTTTTAAAAAAATTGTGGAGAGTCAGTTAGTCATTTTTTCATTGGTGGAAAAAAAAAAAGAAAAAGGTTTAAAATAATCGAAAACTGGAAACGGAAACTGGAGCAGAAAAAGAAAGAAAAAACCGCGTTAAGTTTTTTTTTTTTGTTTTCTATAAAGTAATGTAAAGTTTAAAAAAAAAAAAAAATAGAATATTTTCGAACGTTACACAATAATAATAATAATAATAATAATAATAATAATAATAATAATAATAATAATATATTAATAAAATATGAATTGCCTTAGTAAAAACTTGTGAAGAGTTTTCCCAAATGTAATAAAAAAATATTTTCTCGTTACTGCGTATATTTTACAATTCTAAAATTATGGAAACAATATTTCTGAGGGAAAGAAAAAAACACACACGCAAACAATATTATCGTGTTTGTCTGTCTGT